TATTATGATACAGTGCTTTAGATTTTTCACTCTTGGAAAGTTAAATAATCTATTGAGAATCTTTGAAGTGTTTGCATTAATCCCAAAACCCCATGGTTTGGGAACAAATTATTGTATAATCAATACATTTCATTTTAAAGCCCTTCTCACTATCCTGCCTATCATACACCTCTCTAGGTCTTATTCTTCATAGTCACAGAATCGTTATTCTTTCAGAGAAAAGATTGAATGTGACCTGACAAGACCCCAGAGAGGTCCACAAATCAAAAGCAACAGTGAAGTCAAATTCCATGAGACTCGCAATCTTAAGGGACAACTCAATTTCTTATTTTTTTAAATGCTGGAGGGTAGCAGTTCCTGTTGTTAAACACTATTGGAGCTTATTCTATTTGTTGTGTGAACAAATATCTAGTAAAAACCCAAGGCTAAGAAATTCCCACCTACTCAGGATGCCATTGTTTTCCTCCAAACACTGAGAATCCAAAGCAGGAAGTACACTGAATTTCAGACAATCTCAACTAGGATGCATTTCTGACAGAAGTTTACAGTTTGTCCTCTGACAGAAACTTTGGTGCACTGCTACACACCAGGACTTGGAGCCAACAACCTTATGCCAGTCAGCTCCATCAGCTGTAATTCCTTGCCTTCATCACCTTCCACAAACCTGAGATATATGAATTCCACCTAAAGACCACACCATAGAAGAAAGGAGCACTGCCAAAGACTAGTAATCATTTCACATACTTTTTCCTGTCAGCGAATCAAAACTTCCTGACAAACACCAAAAATCTATGATCCATATTCTGCCATTAAATACATTCTTAAGCAATCACATGCCATCAATCAAACATAACCCACTGGTCATGCAGCAATCTTTTATTGCCCTCTCATTCTCCAACTTCATTTTAAATCTAATCCCTCCTGCAAGGCTGTCTGTTCAAATTATTAGGAACTTTCAAACTTCCAGTCTTTATTCCTGGAAAACTTACTCTCCTCCTAATGTTTATACACTTGATGTATCTGCAGCCTTTTTTTAAATTACCTTGTATTAGGGATATGTTTTCTGTACAGCCTCCTCCAGAGGCTCACTACACCTCTGGAGCCACATCTGGACAGGGTTGCATTTTACTAGTTCTAGAAGGGAACTGAAACACGAGATGCTGATACCTGAGGCATTAATCTTTAACCACATGACTGGACAGGAAAGAACCTCTTAGAGAGATTAGGGGGAAAAAAAACAAACTAAACCAAAAACAGTCTGTAAGACACAGAAGGAAATGAAGGCCTAATGATTTCACTTGAGAACACTCAGAGAACTGGTCAAATGATTATTTGCCAAAGACACAAAATTAATGTTCATGGTTATTGTTCTAGTGCAACATTCTCAGACAGGACATCCCTTACCCCATTAACAGTTTTCCTCATTGTAGAATACCTAACAAAACCTCACTCCAGAAGCAGAATAAATAAGGAGAGGTAGCTTACTTAAAACTTATCCAGCACTCTTGTACTGAATGTGTTTAGACTTTACAAAAACTGAAGACTTTTTAAGTTTTTAATAGCAGACTTAGCTACTGAATAATGAAAGTTTCCTTTAGCTGACTCATTCCTCCAGCACCACAAATCCACAAGTGCACAAACATTGCTAAACTCAGAACCATGTACCAACAAATAAGTGTTTCTCCTAGCTTTTGAACCTTAAAAAAGTTTGCAAGTCTCTCATAACAGTTAGACAGATTTTTCCTACCAAGTTATTGTCATATACTTATTCTGGAATTAACTCTTAAAAACAAAGAAACCTCTCCAATATTGTGTAATCTCCAATTGGATCCTTATTATTTCTGACGTAAGAACACGATACTAACATAAGTTAACCACCATGTGGTTACAGCCAAATCCTACTACATTTTCTGAAAAAAATCTCTTCAAGCTCCTATTTGTTATGTCTTGATTAAGACTTTGTTCTAAAAGAAAAAAGACATCCCTTCCCTCCCCCCAATAGTTCACTGTCATTTTTTAAGTCCTTCCATTGGCTTCTACTCATGTATCACACGGGGTTCATTCTTCTTGACTTCAAGGCAACCATACCCACCCTTAGTTATTTGCTTTTGATCATCTCTAGACCAGTCCTAAACCATCAGCTTTTGCATTATCTTTATTTGCCATTCCCTGGGAACTTCTTTTTCCTGCATGGAGGCTCAACAGATTTGAGAAATTGTCATACCAAGATTTCACTAAATATTTTAATTCTATCAAAATGTCCAAGGGCAATCAATTGCATTCTCCTTTAGAAGAAGTATTAGACTTTGAAATACTATTGCCTTTTTTAACTCACTTGTAAAGTAAAATTTAAATTTGACCACCTCATTTTGATTTATTTTGAACTAGAACACTCATTTGTCTTTTGCGGCAGTTTTTATACAGTTGAGATAACTCCTCCCTAATTTATAAACCTTAAGTGAATAAAGGACATCTCTGCAGTTATTCATGATATTCCAGAGTCAAGAAAAACTGCACCAACAAGCTTGCTATCACTATCCCACTCAATTTTGCTTTTCATCCCAGCCACAGAAAGAAAGAGGGCTCCTATGACATCTTAGAAGCCTAGTCCTGTGCAAAATCTCAGTACTTCTGAAAAAACTGAGATTCCAGTACATGCCAATAAGTCAGAAGACAATAAAACATGGAACCACAGTGTTTATTTTTTTTCCCCTCTACTTTCTTCCATTTCCTTAAACTGCAGCTGGATGAAATATGACTGACAACTGCTGTATTTTTTTTTGTCTACATACTCCTACTTCCAAGGTTTTTTTGGTGTTACGAAGACATGACTAAGTGCGACTAGTGCTGTTCACTTACAGGTACTTTTGGATTCAATTCCTGTTGGATAGGTGCCTTCTACTATTGCCTCACTTATAGTACATAGAAGCCAAGAAGCAACTGCTGCAGAAACAGAATCCTCTTCCCATATTTATATCAGGACTGGGGCATCCACACTTGGCAGAAGGAACATGTGAATGCTTACTGTAAATTGAGAAATGCTCAGTCCATAACAGTCATATGTATCATCATGAGTCTCAATTCACCCACAGATTAACCCTGTGCCCTTATTCACTAGAGCTGCTTTAAAACCCTGAAAAACTAGAAAGTTAAAAATGGATTTTTCTCTACCAAAATTCTAGGACATCCTTAATATAATCTTCGAGCCTTCTGAAGCAGTTAATGGAAACAACAGCTCAGGCACTTTTTTTAAATATGAAAGCTTTCCAGAACAATTCTATCATGCACTTAAAACAGACTTAGATCTTCCTGTGATTAAAAGTTATAAGTATTTTTAGGTCACAAAGCAAGTTTTCACATTCTAAAATATATTTGTTTTCATATCAGGGCAACTGTCTCTACTTGATCCTTCAAGTGAACTTATTAAAAAGTACCAATCACTTCTGTGGGTAGTTGCTCATGTCACATTTAAGAATCTTGGGAGAAATAATACCCTACCCCCCTCCAAATACTAAATCTCCTTTTTTTAAAAAAAAGTTCATATTCCCAAAATCCTAAAAAACATCAATTTCTTTGGCAAAAGCAAGAATGTGAAAATATACGTGTCCCAGGCTAATGAAAACGTTTTTAATACATAGGTCCATTATTAACAGTTTTCTTAGTCAATTCTACAGATATTACATGCATCACAGCTTAGCCACTGCTTGTCATGGAAAAGATCTGAAATTACTCTACAAGAGACCAGATACTTCAGATGCACATTTTTAAAAGGAAGTAATAGGTGTACCTAGAGTAACCTTAAGTTCTGAACTGACAGTAATTCATGCCTTCATCTCCCATATGATGAATCAGGATATCAAATTTTACTTATTTTTAGCACTTATAATGTAAGTACATCCAACAATTTGCTGTGCTGAATTACTCACATGGTCTGTGATTTTTTCTCTCCAAAGAAATAAGCCTTTAAGCAGATAAATCAGTGAGGCACAGAATGAAGTGCAGATTAGCAACTTACAAAATAGTAAGTAAGCTTTTCCATCTTCCAGGCAAAATTATTTCCATTTAAATAGATTCTGTAATCTAAAATATATTCTCTGAAAGCATTAAAAAATTAATTCCCCTATCACTTTGTACTCTGTACTTTTCTTGTACTGTAAGATACGTCCTGAAAAGGGACTGTTTTCTTCGTATTCCCAACTAAGACAGCCACACACAAAATGCTTATTTGCTAATTGTTCATATAAGTATAGACAAACACCTGTGAGTAATCCTTTAATCACATGCCTACATTCTGTCTATTAAGACTAATTAAAATGTTAATTGCAATTTACATAGTGAAGCAGAAAAAAATTCCCCCTTAACCTAAACACAGACCACACTTGATTCTGCCTGATACAAGGCTGAGCTTCTAAACTATAAGACATTAGATTAAAAATTGTTTTGAAATTTCCCCTCCCTCTGTAGTGAGGTATAATAAAACTTAGCACAACTATTACTAGATCAACCAAGTCACATATGTTCAGCATTTATTTCTAAAAAATTCTGATTGACTTAGGTACCTCACAGACATCAGAAAACTTCTAATCCAGGATTCCAGCTGTTATATTTAACAGGAAATGCGTAACAAGTGTCCTTAGCTTAAAAAGCAATGCAATTTTTAAAAAATTACATTTTCAGTAATCCAGCAGCAAATATTCATTGCAATTGTAACATTAAATAGTATCAACAAGCTTTAGGTACAGTTAGAAAAGCCTTTTGGCAAATGCACATGCACTTTATCCTTTCCATCAGGGATCTATTTCTATTCTATCAAAGCCACCTTAGCTACAAATAGACATGCTCCTTTTAAGGTGGCACATTCCTTCTGAACTTGCACAAAGTAACTGTAGAATAGCTGCATACAGCAGAACACGAATTCTCTTCAGTTTTAGGAATCACAAAGCAAGTATTGCTGCTAGATATCTTTATTTTCCTTTAACAAAATACACAAAGGCACAAAATTCACTTATATCTTGTCATTATTGTACAGGTATAAATAGTGCTTTGTATTCAAGTACAATCAAGTGCAGAGACTTATTATATTTTATGTAAACACAAAACAGTTTTGCATGTAGGTGCCTCTGGTTCATCTGCAACGCAAACACCAAAGGAGATGCCATTTATCCAAGTGCCATTTAAGTGAATTCTGTCAAAAAGTTAGACAATGAATAATATTAACACCACTGCAATGACACTTCCATATGCTGAAGTCAAATGTCAGATGACAGTTTAGCTTGTAAACATCTGTGTATTAAACATATACTCAATCCATTTTAACAGGGCAGCATCAAAACGCACCTTAAGTTCACTAGACCAAACTTACTAGGTCAGATGCCATCAGTAATTGCTCTTTATGTGTGGCAGCTAAAGAGATGTCAAACTGTAAGTCACCCTTAGCAAGGCTTGTACTCTGAAGTTTTCAAATCTGCAAACTAAACAAGGGCTACAACTGTTAGACTTCAACCAACTACACATTCTATGTGTTAACTTAAAGAGACATGCTTAATTTACAATACCCACTTTTACACACAGCTCTGACACATTGTGGCAGTTGAGGCAGTTTAAGCCCAAGCAAGATTTTTAAGTTGTACCATTAAAAAAAGCTCACCTGAATAGTAACAATAGGCATGAACAAAGCTAAAAACTAGCTACAGAAGGCACTTGAAGTATTTTATTCTGCATTTATGAAAGATTCTTCACTTTGTTCAGCTGAAGCAGACTCTGAAATAGCCTCTTCAGTTGTTGAAATGTTTTCTGCTTCCTCTTTTTCACCTTCTTCAGCTAGCTTATCATTTAGATGCTCAGAACTTGGTGCTTTATCATCTGTGTCACTTGTCTCAACGAGCTGGGCCATATCATCTTCAGATTCTGTTAAAAGAAAAACAACAAAATAGCTATTTCCAGAAATTAAGAGGCAGCTAATATTCTTAAAAATCAAATGAAACATTCTGCAATCACATACAGATTTTGACTAGTAACTGCATGACATTCTCAACTCATAAAAACTTTCATTTTTCTAAGACAGTCACAGGTACAACAATTAAAATTTAAGGGAAAAGAAAATACTATGGAAAAGAGCTTAGCTCCCACTAAGACTATGTATTATTTGCATATGTTCATCCTCAACAGAAGCTTTCTAAGCTTGTTACTAAAGTGAGACATTAGAAACACACAATGGTAATTCAATTTCTTTGTGTTTGGTAATGTCAGTTTCACCCACTGTTTAACCTTGTTTATAAGGGTTCTATCTGCACACAAACAAAAACATTCTACTTGATGGAAACTACTTTAAACATAAGGAGTCTGATAATCAGGGAAAAAAAACCCCACCCAAACAAATATATCCAAACCAGCCAATGAAAATTATTACATATTCTGTCTTCCCAGGAGTAGTGTAGGAAAGCTGTACAGGAGTGACTATACTTACTCTTCATCCAGGATGGGAATTTCTTTGGTAACATGCATATTTTTAAGATCAAAAACATTTATTTTAAGTACTGCCTTTAAAGAAGTAAATTCTAGCTTCACAACAGGACTTCAGTAGCATATGAGAAGTAAGAGTCATATTTTGAAGTAAGCATAAGCACTGAAAAAATGAATGTAGTGTTGCACTAAAAGACACAAAGTTACTACAGAATGGTATTGCTGATGGCACTTGATTTATTCACTAATATTACTCCGTACTATACAGTACTAATGCATACTGTGAAGGTGAATAGTGTGCAAAATTGATGCAAAATCACAGCTCAAAAATGTGAGACTTATCAAATGTTTCTAAATCCATAGAGTGGTTTGGGTTAGAAGCAACCTTAAATATCAATCCAGTTTCAACCTTCCCCTAGACCAGGTTGCTCAAAGCCCCACCCAACTGGGCCTTGAAAACTTCCAGGGATGGGGCAACCACAGCTTCTCTGGGCAGCCTGTGAGGAATGTGTCTCATTCCTCTTCACAGTGATCCAAATACCAAATCTAAACTTACTCTTTCAGTTCATATCCATTCTGCCTTGTCCTATTCACTATATGCCCTTGTATAACGTCCCTCTCCAGCTTTCTTGTGGCTCCTTTACATCCTGGAAGGTGCTCTATGGTCTCTCCAAAGCCTTCTCTTTTCCAGGCTGTACAGCCTGTCATCACAGGACAGGTGCTCCAGCCCTCTGGCCGTATTTGTGGCCCTCTGCCAGACTTGCTCGAAAAGGAGAATGTCCTTCCTGTGCCAGGGGCCTGTTGGGGTCTAACCCAGTCTGCAACTGGACTGCAGACCAGACACTTGCTTACTTCCCACCCACCCTCCTGCCGCCCTAGTGGGATGAGGAGGAGAATCACAAAAAAAGTTAAAACCCCGGGTTAAAATTAGAACAGCTTAATAATTCAACAAATTAAGATAGCAATGACTACAACAAAAATAATTAAATCCAAGCAGGTGGGAAAGGGGAAGGAAAAGTATAAAATAAATATGTGATGTCAAATCCAATGGCAGGACATGGCTGGCTTTCTGGGCTGCAATCACACAGGTCATGTTGAGATTCTTGCCAACCAACATCCCCACATCCTTCTCCTCAGGGCTGCTCTCCATTCTCTGCTCAGCCTGTACTTGTGCTTGCCTTGATCCTTGATTAGACATGGCCTTCCTGAACTTCATGAGGTTCACAGTTGCACCTCTCAAGGTCATTCTGGATGGAATCCCTTCCCTGCACCACACAGCTCAGCATCATCAGCAAACCTGCTGAAGGTATGCTCAAGCCCGCTGTCAGTGTTCCTGACAAAGAGATCAAGAAGCATTGGTCCCAACACCAGCCTCTCAGGAAAACAGTGTCATCAGTCAAGTGCCACATGCTCATGTTGATCAAAATATGTTTGGTATCTGCAAGTAATCAGACTGCTTCAGGCTGATACAGAATTCAAGCAGAGCTGAAAGTTTTAGAACCACTGCTCTGGCTTCTCAGCCCATGACTGAGTAGAGGAGCTGCTGCACACCCCTAGCCAGCAGGCCTTGTACAAATGCCATCTATCACACAAAGATGTCTCTTTCCATACAAAGAACCTAGCTAGTTCCAAGCTTCATTTCAGACTGCTCAGAGCAGCCCAGCTCCTCCATCTTTTTCTCAGACTTATCTTTCATTTTAAGCAAGTCTGCAGCTGGCTCACCTCCTGATTCCTTCCCTGCTTTCACAACCACAGGCTGCTCAACACCTACCCTGGCTTCTTGTTCCAAAATTTTTCAACACCCCTATTTCTGCCCAATCAAATTAATGTTCCCACTTACTTTCCAGACCATCCCACTCTCTCCTCCTGCTCTTCAATTTCCATCTTGATCCCATCTCTGTCTGTGCTCAATCTTTATCTCCCAACTGTCAGTTTTCTTTCTGTCTCATCTCTGCATTTTTTCTTCAGCCTCGAATTCTATGAATAAGTTTGTGCACTTTCCTGCTCCAAACCCTCCACACTTGAGTTACATTACTGCTGCTTTCAGGCTAGATTCAAAGAAAGTATGGGATGCAAGGAAGAGGCAGCTCTATGCCCTCTCAACTCATTTGTAGCATAGCCCAACCATGACCTATATACAGAGTCTTCTAATAGAAAGGAGAAAACCTGATAAAATGCATATTCTAACTATATTCAAAGGAACAGGATGGTGCTTTCATTTTTGTATTCTAATAAAGGTATGGAGACACAGCTTATTTAAACAAAAATTGACAGGTATTTTATTACTTTTCTCTTCACTTGCTCTTGGTTAAACTTATGGAAACTCTTGAAACTCTCCAGAATATAGAGTAATACAAATTTACAGGGAAAATATTGGTCTTATAATTCTGTCTGAGAAAGTTACAAGAAACTGAAGAGTAGGTCCTTTAAATGAGAGCATTCAGAGTAAGTGATGCTAACTCCAACCATAAACATGATCAGTCTTCATTAAAAATATATAGTGATTCCATTTTAAACACAGCAATTAATGGAAAGCTTGCCTAAAGTCAACCTGATTTAAATACTGCATGAATAAAGTCATTGTAAGAGCAGCAGCCAACAAGTGAAAGCTCTGACTATAAACTTAAAAAGATGACAAAAGAAAATATAAGTGTCCTTGATGAGGAATACTTAATCCTTCATTTAACCCAAGAATGGAGCTTCACCCACATGATCTCAATAGCAAACATAATCCTAGGCTTGCTGCATATTTCAGAGCTACAACAATGCAACATTAAAAAACCTGCTCCTGGTTACAGCAGTTTTTTTCCCCCCAACACTCTTGCTTAATGCTCAGTACTTAGAAAGCACATGCACTTCACACTAAGAAGTCAGCCACCCCTCCTCTTGTTGCAGAGAGTATTTCACTGAGTAACCAGTGAAATCACAATACTGCATCACTACTAAATTAAGTATAAAATGTCTGTTAAGTGGGAATTTACAAAAATGGTGTAATTGCTCTAAAATACAGCTGCATGTTCTTTCAAAGCAGCCTTGGGACAAGTTTTCTTCACTACTACAGCTCCTCTTCAAGACAGATTTTTCACTCAGTGCCACATGTCTGAAGTGTCTTTAAAGAACATGTGTCTCACAGTAACCTGTTAATGGCTTTGGTATCAGAGAAAACTATTGTGAAGCCTTTGCAACAAGCCAGATAATAGCACAGCATTCCCTCTACCCTTTACGTCCTACCAAAAAGACAACTCAATATGTTCAGCAAAACTGAACCATGGTTGACTGGAAACATTACACATTTTTAAATAAAAAGAACTCGTTCACAAGTCATTAAACTCAAGGTGAGCTGACCTATGTCTGCTTAGGAAATCATTTGAGTTCTAGACATACTAGTCCTTTGTCTTCCATCAGTTTTATTCCTAGCAAAAGTTTCTGTAACACTTGCCCAAAGCTAAGCTCCATTTGTGGTAGAACTCATGGTGAGCACACACTTGAAATGTCATTATTTAAAGATCATTACTGTGACCCCTTCACAGTTCAGTTCAGTTTTCTGCACCTGCCTTTATAATGGAAAGCCTTTCAAACAAACTAGCAACTGCTGTGTTCCAAGAATCCTTAAAAGTGGCAGTATCAAATAATCACAAAAATATTTGAGCAAGATGGTCAAGGGATTCCATACAAATCTAGAGATGTCACATAAAGATGTCCATGAAGTGCTGACCACTGTGGTAAAGTCAGAAGTCCAAAACAGATGGAAGTTCAAATCTTCATCTAATGATGATCTCTAAATACCAGTGCCAGACATTCAACACAAAACACTGATGTAGTCAATTTTTTTTCAATTTTGTTTCAAAATAGTGTGAAATGCTAAACCTGAATCAAGAATACATCATAACAGCACTAAACAAAGGCAAGGCAAAATTAATCAAGAGGCTAAAAGTGCTTCCTGTTTGAATATGATCCAAACATTTATACATTTAAGACAAGTACGTAAGAAAACCAACTAGCCTTTGATGGGAGGGAGGGAATCAAAATCAAGCCATTCACATGAAAGGTAAGAAAAAAGCTGAAGTTTATTGCTTCACAGTGGTACTAAAATTTCCTAAATTAATCTGCTGAACAAAGAAGCATGATTGTATCAGTAATCTGCACCAGACTGACAGCTGATTACTCTGTTTTCCAGAGGTTTAAAACAAAGTTCGGAAGTTCAGCGCCAATAGCACTCCCCAGAAGCACTCTTCAGATCTCTTATCCAAAGGAGCTGCATGTAGGATGCTTGTCACTACATGAAGCATACAAGTGAAGAAAAGATTCAGCTTCATGCTCTATCCATTAGCAAAAGCAGCTGACTGGTAAAAAATATTTATAGCATTTCTTTATCACATTATTTTCCAGTCTCTGTGAGCTATACAGCTATGGCATAAATGAATTACAGATAAGAGTTTTACTCCCCTGTGTTGTCAGCACTGTGGTGATGTTGGTTTCCTGATGTTAATATTTGTCTGCATCTAAGTGAAGACATTCTCTATTCTTGCTATAACAGCAGCTATTTTACTGTGATGAACAAAAGCCTTTCCCAGAGCTCAACCTTAATGATATCTTCATACCTTAAACTTACAATCAAAGAATGTGTTCATTTATTAATAAAATCCAACTGCATGTAAGCAGTTATGCTTCATACTGCAGAAAAAGTGAAAATATTTTCTGAAAGTATTTTTTCATTCGGAAGAGATTCCTTTGTGGCAAGTCACAGGCAGGCACGGGCCTCCTCTCCATCAACAAGACATTTCTCAGAGTTCTGCAAAATACTAAGACATACTCTATTTCTGGCTGCTTAGTAATTATCAAAACAGAATGGTTTGTATCATCTTGGAGCATACATATTCAGGAAAGTTCAGCTATTTAACCTAGAAGACCAAAAATCTGTATAGCACTTACTTATTTCTTACACCTCTTCTGCGAAATTTCACCATATACTTCCTATCAGGAAAAGACAACTGGGCAATGAGGCTCACAGTTACTTCTTTTCCTGCTCTTCTTAAATAAAGCAGCACATTAATACAAGACCACTTTAAAAAAAACAAGCAATTTTCATTGTTAAAGGTAAATTGGTAAAATCACATTTACTGCATTAAATCCACCCTATTTTTCTGCTGAAATGTTTAGTAAAATTCTACTTCTATAAAAAGCAAGTTGTCAGTTTTCATTCCTACATCTGAAATGCTTAACAGCAATCTCACAGTAATTCTTCAGATTTTAAATTTTTTTACATCTATAGACTGACTCAGCAGCTCAGACTCATTATAGCCATAATTTCATAATAATTTCTTTCAATTATAATACGAGATTAATTAGCAAGCACCTCTCCTTACCTCTCTCTAAAAACCTGCAGTAATGGATAATATTCAGAAGCCCATGAGGCACATGTCTCCAAGAGTAGAATATCTCTCTTTAAAGACCTCTCTATTTGAGTCAGACAGAAGAAAACAAGCACACTTTTAAAGATCCTAGCAACAAAGTATGTCTTTTTCTGTAAGAATCTTCAAAGTTCAAAAGTCCAAAAAGCTACCAATCTACCCTCCCCTTGCTAAAAAGATGACTCCGTGATTTAAGGGCAAATGAGGTATTTGATTGTCTCAGTTCCATCCATTTGATTCCAGTCTTACTTTCATGCCAATAACAGCACTCTTACTGAGGTAAGAGTGCACTGTGGCACAGTAAAAGAAACCAAGTTTTTGCTACAATGCACCCTCATCAGGCCATGCCCAGAGACTGCCAGCATTAAATGTGACTTCCCTAATGGCCCAGAAAGAAAACCCCAACATTATTTTGTACTCCCTGTTAAAAATAATCAAGCAGAAGCACTCTATTACAGTCTGACAGTTTCCCACAGTTGGTGTGTTTCTAGCCTGAACCTCAGAGCTGCACACTGATAGTACTCCCCCAGGATCCCTGCTTAAACTAACATAAAGTCCTATCAAGCACTCAACAGCACATCTAACTGGAGATCCTCTGGTTTGAAATTATGATTTCTGGAGTCTTTTAAAACACTGCATCTTCCTGTTGGCTGTACACCAGATGCCTCCTGTATCTGTAGGCTATAAAATGTCTCAAAAGGAACTATGTTAAATTAAAATTGACAATTTGTCTTTGAACTACCTGAAATTAAACAAGGCAGTTTTACTAGATTTTCCTGCCCTGAGGAAAAGAGCAAAAGGAACAAAGGCAGAAATTCCAACACACCTCAACCACATGACCTGCCAAACACAGTGAAAGTTAACTACTTTAGGACATACTCGCTCCTTAACTATTTCTGTAATTTACAGTGCTTTTTTCTACCCATTTGTCAGTAACATTAGAGTGAAAAAAAATTGTTATGCCATCTTTGCACAAGAAAATGACAAATATTAATAAATTGTAGGGTACAGGAAGGAAGACGCTACCATCAACAACCTTAGCTAGGAGCAGAGACAAGAATTGAAAAAAAATACATAAGCTGTACTTTCTGTGAAGTCAGAATAAACTGTAGTATTCCAGTTGGAATGGACCAACTAGAATCATCTAGACCAACTCTCTACACAACTGGGGGGTTGATCAAAAGCTAAAGCATGTTAAGGGCCTTTACTGACCAATTGCCTTTAACACCTACAGACTTCAGTCACTGATCACCTCACATGGAACCCTGTTTTTGTGTTTGAGAATTTCAGCTGTAGTCATTCTTATAAGGAAACTTAGCTCAACAGAGAGCTAGATGATGGTGAATTTCATCAGATATTTATAAAAGAGCGAACTTCATGCATATTTACCTTTTGTCTGTTGAGTCTCCTGGGGCTTTCTCTCTCTAGGTTCGAGAGGCTCAGCTTCAGATCGCATTTCTGTAGTTTGCTTTTTTTCAAAGCTGAAGTCTGGAAGTCGTGGAGCCTGAGGCCTAGTTTTTCTTGCAGGATTCAGGAAGAAGCAGTAGGCACACCTAAATGCTACACCACAAAGGACACCCAGTAAGCAGCCTCACTAACTAACTTCACATTTCACCTTTATTCCTACACTATATTCATATATATATTCATATATGAACCATATATGGTTCAAAATACTAAACACAGTTACGTGACTACCAGTAGCAGAGAATACCTCCACCAAATTTACATTACTTGTTCTATAGAGGTCCTTTTTTAAATTCAGCAGACATTTGGTCTTTACAAACCTGCTTGCTTTCAGCTCTGAGGAACTGAGTACTGCCCAACATCATGAAAGATTTGACCACAGTGAACAAAATAATAGAATTCAGTAGCACCAGATGTTGCCACATGGTGCTGTTTCTATTCTCTCCTACAAAAGAATTAAGTTGGCAAATGATTTTTCTTTTCCCATCCCTTATGATGCCACTTTCCTCACACTCTGAGTAAGGAGGTATTAGGAATTCCACAAGGTATGTCTCACTCTGCTTTTTGAGAATAATTCTGCTCTGGTGGTGTTTAATTAAGAAAAAACAGTTTTGTTTTGCAGAAGTAGTGGATACCATGTAATACTTAACTCTTTTTGTCCTCCCGACTCTCACCAAGACAAGGGGGTAAGTGGCAATTTCTGGTACAATTGAGTTGTGAACTCATAAGATCTAAGATAACATATATACTACATATCTTTGGTTTCATAGGAAAAATTTAGCTTCTTCTTACACTGCAGTATATTTACTCATAAAAATAAAACAAAATTAAATACAAGATTTAGGAATCCCTAGTTTCCTAAGCATCAGGCTTACACTTGTGGTAGAAAGCAAGCAAAATACAACATCTGTGTTCAATAAAGAGCTGTGTCTGTCTTAAGTTACTGTCAGCCATAAATTCACATATAGGCCCCCAGGGCTTGTTCCCACTCTTTTTCCGATACATCCCCAAGATCTTCTTGCCAAAGGAAAATTTAGTTTAAGTTCTGGTAAAAGAGGCACACTTTAATGACAGATAGTTTCTCAACATAAAACCCTTCTGAGAACCATTCATAGCCAGTAGCAATGTTCAGGGATGTATTGGAGGAAGCTTATTTCTACTGAATAGTTTTCTACGCATAAAATCCATGACCTGAAGGTCACAGTAAAGTACTTCTCTAAGTCGTGAAGTAAATCTTAAGATACAGAGTAATAAGTTACCAAAAAATGTTCCCACATGAAGTGGTACTTCACAATGTCAGCTAAGTACTCAGCTGCAACCAAAATGAAGCATGATGCATGTTTGTTATGAAACACAAGCCAAACAACAGAGTCTAAAATAGATTAGCTCTTACCTATGTATTCAAACTCCTCCTTCAAAGCCATACCATTGTGAGAAAAACATTGCTGACATATAAGGGCATACCTAGAAAGCATGAATAACACATAGTTACATACCTTTAAGTAATGACACACAGAATGGAGATGTATTTTACCTTACATATTGGCTAACACCTTGTATCTTTTCTTCCAAAACATGATTTGCACAATAAAACTATTACACTTGAAAGCAAACTAAATCTGCAGATTAAATGATACTTTCTGAAGTTGGTTTAACCACAATGAAACACTCTCAGCTACACTTTAAATTATGATTCAACATATTTTTAGTATCACCAGTGTCAGAAAATAACATCCAAATAACGCCTTTATTTCATTAGAATACAGTTAATTTGAAAAGTAGCCATAGTAAACATGTTAAGTTCTGATATGTTTGGACAGTTCTGAAGGCAATCTGCAAGGCATTTATAACAGATATAAAGCTGAAGTGCTGAGATAAATGATTTCTTTTTTTCAGTTCAAAATATAAGTCATTCACCCACTTGAGCACATCTCTTTCTTTGTATCACACAGCTAATAGTACTTATAACAGAGGTTAGTTCTGCACAAATATTACCAGTTTCCCTGCAAAGATATTTCAAGTGAAGCACTGAGAAAGAATCATTTCTCAATTATAAAAATTTTGGACAAGTTTATTTACAATTCTTTTAACCTTGACATGGATTAAACAGAAAGGTTAGGAAGCTTCCTTTCCCCTAAGTGTTTAGGGGGAAATTTCTTAAAGAACATTTTACCTGTTCTGAGGACCATCACCAACCAAATATTCAATAACTCTATCCACAACTCCTCTTTCTCGAGGAAGAACAGGTCTTGCCAAAGGAGGGCCTGGAGGATGAAGACCTAGAACAGGAATTATATCAAAATTATTTTCCACTGTATAAATATATATTATATTTATTGTGTGTGCTAGTGTAACAAAATAATTGCATCTACTTAATATACATGGACATATTTCTTAGTCCACCAGGAAAGCTATAAGATTCTTCAACCCACAATAGTTCAAAATTCCTCTTCTCCTCCTTCAGCTTATAATTTTATTAAATCACTCCATTTTTACACCTTGGACCTGTAATAATTTTATAATTTCTAAAGAATTCAACATATCAATAGTGTTTGATTATTAACAAATAGAAGCTTTTTACAAAAGAACAACTAAGTTCTCTTCGTATACACTCAACTCTGCAAATTTTCACTTGTAATTTACACCCATAAATCTGCCAAAATCAAGGACAACAGTAGAAGAACTAGAAATCAGGGCAACCTGATCTACTGAAAGGTGTCCTGCCCATGGAATGGGGATTTCAAAGAGATTAATTTTAAGATCCCTTAAAATCCAAAGCATTCCATGATTTTATGAAGATGTCACCACAGAAACACCCCCTGGTTTCTGTGTAATTACTATACCACACGAGCATGCCCTCAGTGTGCATTGAGTCTATACATTAAACCTATTCAGCTATTTGTCATTTTGGTAATCCCACATGTAATGACAAGTTGGATATTTTCAGATTTATGCCTAGTCAAAAAAGCCAGAAGGCCACTACAAATACTATTTCCCCCACGTATTTCAAAAACTACTATCAAAATGAAACTCCTTAAAGAACAGGTAAGAGCAATGGTTCTTTTTCACCTCAACATACAGCAGTTAAACCAGAACACTGGCACGAATTTCTCTTTCCACAAAGTTTTAAAATGCCTAGTCCCTTGTACAAGTCTACTGCATGGGTTATCACCTTTCCCTGATACTCAGCCTAAATCTCCCCAACTCAGCTTTGTGCCATTTCTTTGGGCCCTGTCACTGGTCACCAGAGTGAAGAGATCAGTGCCTGCTCCCCTGCTTCCTCTCATGAGGATGTTGAAGACCACAGTGAGGTCTCCCCTCAGTCTTCTTCAGGCTGAACAAATCAAGTATTGCAGCCACTCCTCACAAATCCTCACCTCCAGACCAGGAGGCAAAGACAACACAGCAAGCCTTACTATTCAATAACCTGATCCAAGATGGGCTTCACCTCTAAATATAGCATTAAAAGTAACTGCCAGTAGATTACCCTTTCAAGCCTCCTACCTTTTAGTCTTCACAGATAGAAGCAACAAAGGAAAAGTAAATAAGGGTAGAATGTACTACATTAAAATACATATAACATATAAACCTCAAGCTCAGTGCCACATACTAACACTTCTGTCCTCTATAGCAAACATTAAACATTGTAGGAATCAAATATTTTCAGCAGTGCCCTCTTGTAGCGCTATACATAGAACAAGACTAATATTTCTAACAGCACATCTTTCAAGACACATCTTGTGAGTATTGGATATTTGACCTAAATTGACTGTCTTAATCTTTAGAAGCACAAGAAAACTCTTTCAGGAAATACTGCAATTTACAACCCAGCAGTTAAGCAAAAAAACTAGTTCCACACTCAACATAAATGTTCTTAAAATAGGCCTTATTTTCACAAAAAAAAAAAAAAAAGAAAATTAATTCAGGGGATAACAATCAGTAAATGCATTTCCAAATTATCCCTGTATTCCATTCTCAAGTAGGAACCTAGACAAAGAAAACCGTCACATCAGCAAGACAGAACAAATTCTGTGCAATATAAACTGTATCCTGCTAAAGCTGTCCAAAGTAGAGGTCAGGCAAAGTTCATATCCTAGAGCTTCACAAAAACCTGAAAGATCCAATACTTCCATCAAAAAAGGGCACTGATACAATCTACAATAATATTAAAGCTCTGTAATAATTTTGTGAATACCTCAACAAACTCAAATGTTTACTTAGGCCTTTATTTAGAACACCAAGTTTGCAATTACTTGTAAATCAAAAATATATGAACTTTCTAAAAGTCAATAAACAAGGTAAAAATTGAATAAAGTTACCTAGAATGAAACATCACAACACATTCCAACAACAACTTCAATTACCTGCCTGCTAATAACTCAAACCAACCATCTTGGTTCTCATGCTGTTATGGACACCAGTAATTAATATAAACATCAAAAGCAATCATTGTAGAAAGACTGGTCATTTTTGCAAAGCTTGGCAAACTCTCAACTACCTGCTGGTTATTAATTTTCAAACATATGGGAGCTCTGTGGTAATACACGTTAAATTGATTCTCCCCTACAAAATACAGTATAATGAAAATGAATTATTAATCTTGGGTAAAATAGAGATAATTAAGGGTGTCCATATTTGTTGCAGGCCATGCATATGCTTAGATACCATATTATTCTTATAGATACTGAATTTACGTACTTTTCACTACAACTACACAACTGAGATTTTATATGCCTGGAGAATTTGGAGAAATTCAAGAGAAAAAGAGGGCTTCCATATTAACTGACAATTGCAGTGGCTCCAATTGTTATCTATGGCAAAGTAACGTGTTTGGTCAAAATACCAGTTATTTAGTGGGGGGAAAAGTGCCTGTCAGGTATTACTGCAAAGATTACATTAAAAATTTAAATCACAAACTTGGCAACTGTCCTTTCAAACAAGTCAGTCACTTTATATTCCTTCCTCCTCTAAAGCATTTATGCAGTAAAGGCCAAGTTTCATCCAGCTTATTCAACATGCCTGAATCTTCCCCTAAGAATAAAGCCATCATATAGCTAATACTTTATTCTACAGTCAGTTTCCTTAAAAAGGAGTATGTAATTTTAAACTCATTACAGAATTTTTGGTAATCAGGTATCAGTAAATGTGGTTAGCAACCAAATGACCAACTTCCTGGTGCAAGGAGGTAACTTCTGGTACTTCAAGATAATCAAGACTTAATAATAACATGTCTTACAGTTCACTTCAGGGAAAAAAAACCAATTTAGCAGTTTCATAACACAGGTAAAGAATTAATAACATCAAATAAGGCTTAATGAACTCTACAGCAGAGATCTCTACTTTCCATGATGAGTTTATTCCCCTACACTAAACAACAGGAAAAAGCATTTTAACATTTAATTTCTCAAGATCTTAAAGAGCAAGTGCCAATATATTATTTACAGCTTTACTTTTTGATTGTATCATGGAAGTTAGCAAGGAAAGACATACAATTAGTAATACTTAAGCAGCTTCAAGTAAGAATCAGGAACAAAGGGCAGAGAAAAATATTCTTGATCCCTATATATAGAGCAAAGAACTCCACATTAAACTGGTGCTCAAGAGATTCCTTGCAAACTGTGCCCCTTCTATTTTCAAGACAGCATTTCATCTCTTTTCTTGTCTTTTGATCCAACTTGTCAAACATCCCACAAAGAATGAAAGGCCTAGCACAAACCCACACACAGCTTTACCATCCATGAGGAAAACAAGAACAGTGCTGCCCACCCCTATTCATTAAAAGTCCATCCCATCTGAACACCAAATAAGAAATCAAGGGAAAAGCACTTTCAAGATATGAAATCAAATTTTAAGGAATACTCATTCCCACCGTACTTCAACCAGTTTCTAAACTTTGGATTCTTTTACCAAAATAACACTGCCATTTTAGTATTCAGCTACAACACAGACAACTTTTCTGTTGTATTTGGTTTTCCACTTTAATCTATGAGTATAGGCCGCATGACTGTAGTTTTTAGAGTAAAAATTTAAATAAATGTCAAGATGCATGTTGAAAAAAATATGTGCAGAGTTTAGTGAGACGCATGAATGTATTCTGAAAGTGTTCTCCTCTGTACCTGATTTATTCAAGCATAGAGCTCTTCTAAACTAAGAACATAAAAAGGTATGCTATATTGTTGACTACAGAATACCGCAAAGTTTTATTGCCATTTAAACAAAGAAGCCATAACAGTTAAATGAGCTCAGGCAATAGGTTTCAGCATCAAAAGGTGCCAGCTGTAAAGAGTTATGGCTAATTGAATATGGAACTCCTGCTTAATCAGATAACTGCTCTGCTATTTCCAAATGAAATGCCATTTCCATACTGTATGAAAATGGCCTATTTTATTAGTAACCAGAGAAAACAATATAAACTGTAAATAACATTAAGTGCTGTGTTTACCCATTCCAGGCACTGAAGTAGCAGGGGATCCAGGGCGTCTTGGTAAAACATTTGATTGCAAGGATGGCACAGCAGTTCTTTCCGGGAGCCCGCTCAGGGCTGGTGTCTCTCTCTGCAGATCAGGAGATGCTGGAAGCGGGGACTTTGGAGAGCCTTGTTTGGGAGTTGCAGGTGGGGGTGCAGAAGTATTTCTTTGAGCTGCAGTCCTCTGACGAATTTCTGACAAGAACATGTACATAATGGATTTAATATCTAGCATTATATGCAAGATATGAGTAAAAGTACATTCATATTGTTATAGCAATTAGCAAATTACAGAATCAAACAAAACCAGGTAGGTCTAAAACTAATCATCATCAGCTGAGTGTGTCACAGAAGTAAATATCACACAGAAGTAAATACCACAGAGAATACTAAATTTCAGTTATCATAACTGTTAAATACTTTGGGCAAAATTTTTCTAGAAGGAAATTAGAGAACAGAATCATAAAGTATCTGCTAAGGCAGAACATTGGACATATGAACAGCTGGACTCAAATCACAATTAATTGAATTGACTTAATGTCAATGGCTTAAAAATGCTCTCAAGTATATAGGTTTCCATGGGACCAAAATTATTCATTTAGTATCTAATATGCCCAAGCTATGTGCCCAAAGCTATTAAAAAAAAATAATCAAATTGTATAAAAAAAACCAATTCTAAAACCAGAAAAAGAGCTAACACTTCATTCAGGTGATATAGTTTCACTCACTTGTTTCACTCACCCTACCATTAAACCATGTGCATGGATTCTCACAAAGCAAGAATGGGCTCTGCCACAACACATCCCTACTTTTACCTCTTCTCACACCACTATCGGTTACTATTAATACACTATCATGAAAAACTTAATATATTTCCTCAGTTGTTCTTACCTGAAGCCAAATACCACCAGAGTCACATACAATGGTTTAAATGTTGTAATAGTCACGCAAGCCTGACATTTACACACTATTGCAACAAATCAAACTGAAATGTAACCATTGCTTTAGTGTGCAGATATTTATGTGGTTAACAAGTTGCAGGTTAGTCTCTGAAAGGGACACCCCAAAAACATACACACCTAAGGCTATAATACCCTACAAAGCTAGCGTATAGCACGAGGACTTTGAACCAGCTTGCATGTCTTCCTTCACAACAAATGGAATTTAACACTACATTTGGACTTTAAAATCATTTCCACGAGTCTCAAGATTAGAGAGATTTTATCTGCTGACTTTGTGTCAGGCTGGAAGAGTTTAAATGCTTAGCAGGCAGTTTACAGCTCCACTGGCAACCAGCCACTGAAAACTGGGTGTGCTGAGTCTGAAGGAGCAATGCCTGTCCCCAAAAGCACAACACTACCATGCTAAGCTCCTGCTTTGGGTGGAGGAGGAGAGCATGCTACACCAGCTGGCACTAGCTAAGAGCTGCTATCACTGAAGTACTAGGTCAAATGCAACAGTTCTGTGGGAATACAGCCAACCTAGTGCCATGAAAATTGCAACATACATAGGTTATGGTCATGCCTACTTACTGTACGTATAATTAGGATTAATACACAACAGAAAAAAATATTTAAAATTCTTTGGCATCACCACTTTAAAAACTACAAGTTAAAAAACTACAGTCTTAACTAATAATCTATCCAGTTCAGTTTCCTACAGAGCAGAACAAATTACTTCTTTTCCCCTGCCACACCATGTGCATGACTGCATTACTTCACACAACTTCATCGTCCAAGTTACATCACCCAATGAGTCTGAAGGTTCTGTATTTTAACTTGATTTTAACAAGCATGTTTGCCCCATCACTATTTAAGCTGTTCAGAATCTGGAAACCAGGATTAATTGGTGAGGTAGTTGCAGAAATTCTATCAGCATTTCCTTGGCGAATTGCTTCTGGTTTGAAAACTGCTCTTGTGTTGAGAGTTTTATCTAAAGTAAGAACTCATTTATTATGAACCTCTCCATTAACATGTCTTCCAGATCTTTTTGTGAGACATTAGCAGTAATCTTTTAACTTTTACCACACTAGGATAACTGCATTCTCTCTATGACCAACAGACATGGCCCATCTCCAAATACAAAATATTGATTAAAACCCATAATTTATTCAACCATTATAGTCAAGTTGGTGTTATGGTTTCCAGTCATGTGTTACTTTCAAAAATTAAACTAAAAGGTATGCAATTTCTCAAGTCTTCTCAGATTCACGTATGTACAAAAAATGGTTGATAAATATAAAGCCTAATTCCACTTGTTCCAAGATCATTTTAAACATCTGTAAAGACATCTTAATCCATTCTTTTTCCATTACAAAACCCTCTTTATTATTGTTTTACATAGAAAAATGTCAAAGACCATTTCTACATATGGATATTACTTTTACATTTTGAAGACTGTCTTTCTAGATCGTGTGGTTTAAGCATATTAAATTTAATTGTTTAAGAACACTGAGTCTGTTTCAATAGGTCATGTCCATATTCACATTTATTCTGAGTCCATAATACACTATTTCTAAGCAATTTCCATGCTGCCTGCAAGAGCTTTGCCCCTTTTGTCTGCTCCTTCTGAAGGGTCATTTTTGGCAAGTCTTCTTTAAACGACTTTCAATTAAAAAGATACTGCTACTTTAATGACACTTTCTCCATATTTTTGTTCCTATAAAGATGCTGAACCAGTACTTTACAGTCAGTATTAGAGAGATGTGCTTCAGTAGTTTTAGTCACATCACAGAGTTAAGAATGCAAGACTCATTGCTAGTTTCCACAAAATATTAGGTTATTTACAATGCCTTTTTTTTTTTCCCTTCACTTAGAAGTTCACTTGGGTTTCACACTATTCTGGGATTCATACTTAGGAGAACTTGCCAACACTCTGTTGCTCCCCAAGTAAGAGAAGTCACCAGAATCCACATTATGAGAAAGTGAGAAATGCTCTACCTTGGCACAACCAACAGCCCATCTATTCCAGTATTTCCTTTCACAGAGTGGCTGTAGATGTTATTCAGTGACAAAGCACAAACCTGAATTTCTGATGCTTACATTCCTGAGACCATCCCCAGGATCCATAAATGCATTGTCATGGACATCAAGAGTACAGCCCTGTCTCATCATTTTAGTATCACATATGGAACCTTTACATGAACTCCCCTAATTCCTTTTAAATCTGCTCTGCCCTTCCACAGTAAGAGCCCTAATATTCTTTTGAAGTAACTGAATATGATCTTTACACATCTTGGATTGCCTTAAGATGCAATGTGTTTAAAATGAGCCTCTTGCAAAGTTCCAGATTTCCATAATTCCAAGTTGCACAACTTAGCTAAGAAACACGTCCATTGACCTCATTCCAAGGATTTTCTTCAGTAACAATATTTGTGCATCCAAAATTTAATGGCATGAAGACAGATAAATAGCTTAAAAATAGAACTTTTATTCTCCAACCACACTACAGTTCAAATTCTGCAGTTGCCAGCACTGGACTTCAGACATAAGCAGACACATTACTTAAGAGGTATCTACTCAACTGATGATTCAGTATGAGCTCTTAAAGACTTTTACACTACTGCAGTGGTGAGGCAGTGACATGTTTCATGTTTACAAGCATAACTATTTTATTTTTCCCTCACTTCAAAACACCCTGATTTTTGTAGAGAAGAATACATTATTTTCAGAGCTACACTACACTGCAGGTCAATAAATAGTTTACATAACTTGTTGGCTTTAGTATCAAAGACCAACCAAGCATTTCCTTCCTTCCTTCCTCCTCATGCTTATATCCATCCCACAGCCTACAACCATCTTTTATTGCATTACCTTTAATTCAGGTCACAGAGTGATCTCATTTACAATACACCCCTGCTAAAAGTTGTATCACAAAATGAAAAGAGCAGGTACCAACAACACAATATTGTTGATAAATATTTCACTGCAAATATATACTTACTCTTTTTCTCCATAGCCAAAGTTATGAATAATATAAGTATATATTCATTAACTGTATGCCTCAAAATATTTCTGAACAGATAAAATTGTGCTTAAATTTTCAAATTCCTTTCCTTCTGGATTAAAATTGCCATTACTTTTTTAAGCAGTACATGTCAAAACCATAAAAACTGCAAAAAGAGCTAAACACACAGGAAAATTGGGGTGCTATCAGCTGTTTTTCTGAGAACCAACTACATGCAATATTGATTAAACCTTTGTACCAATTAGTATGATGTGCAAGCTTTCATTTCAACCAGTAAGTCAAAAACATACAAACTAACNATTTTTGGCAAGTCTTCTTTAAATGACTTTCAATTAAAAAGATACTGCTACTTTAATGACACTTTCTCCATATTTTTGTTCCTATAAAGATGCTGAACCAGTACTTTACAGTCAGTATTAGAGAGATGTGCTTCAGTAGTTTTAGTCACATCACAGAGTTAAGAATGCAAGACTCATTGCTAGTTTCCACAAAATATTAGGTTATTTACAATGCCTTTTTTTTTTTCCCTTCACTTAGAAGTTCACTTGGGTTTCACACTATTCTGGGATTCATACTTAGGAGAACTTGCCAACACTCTGTTGCTCCCCAAGTAAGAGAAGTCACCAGAATCCACATTATGAGAAAGTGAGAAATGCTCTACCTTGGCACAACCAACAGCCCATCTATTCCAGTATTTCCTTTCACAGAGTGGCTGTAGATGTTATTCAGTGACAAAGCACAAACCTGAATTTCTGATGCTTACATTCCTGAGACCATCCCCAGGATCCATAAATGCATTGTCATGGACATCAAGAGTACAGCCCTGTCTCATCATTTTAGTATCACATATGGAACCTTTACATGAACTCCCCTAATTCCTTTTAAATCTGCTCTGCCCTTCCACAGTAAGAGCCCTAATATTCTTTTGAAGTAACTGAATATGATCTTTACACATCTTGGATTGCCTTAAGATGCAATGTGTTTAAAATGAGCCTCTTGCAAAGTTCCAGATTTCCATAATTCCAAGTTGCACAACTTAGCTAAGAAACACGTCCATTGACCTCCACACTAACACAATTTACAGCTGCTGATGTAGGTTTAATGAAGTTCTGCAATATTCCAAGGATTTTCTTCAGTAACAATATTTGTGCATCCAAAATTTAATGGCATGAAGACAGATAAATAGCTTAAAAATAGAACTTTTATTCTCCAACCACACTACAGTTCAAATTCTGCAGTTGCCAGCACTGGACTTCAGACATAAGCAGACACATCACTTAAGAGGTATCTACTCAACTGATGATTCAGTATGAGCTCTTAAAGACTTTTACACTACTGCAGTGGTGAGGCAGTGACATGTTTCATGTTTACAAGCATAACTATTTTATTTTTCCCTCACTTCAAAACACCCTGATTTTTGTAGAGAAGAATACATTATTTTCAGAGCTACACTACACTGCAGGTCAATAAATAGTTTACATAACTTGTTGGCTTTAGTATCAAAGACCAACCAAGCATTTCCTTCCTTCCTCCTCATGCTTATATCCATCCCACAGCCTGCAACCATCTTTTATTGCATTACCTTTAATTCAGGTCACAGAGTGATCTCATTTACAATACACCCCTGCTAAAAGTTGTATCACAAAATGAAAAGAGCAGGTACCAACAACACAATATTGTTGATAAATATTTCACTGCACATATATACTTACTCTTTTTCTCCATAGCCAAAGTTATGAATAATATAAGTATATATTCATTAACTGTATGCCTCAAAATATTTCTGAACAGATAAAATTGCGCTTAAATTTTCAAATTCCTTTCCTTCTGGATTAAAACTGCCATTACTTTTTTAAGCAGTACATGTCAAAACCATAAAAACTGCAAAAAGAGCTAAACACACAGGAAAACTGGGGTGCTATCAGCTGTTTTTCTGAGAACCAACTACTATGCAATATTGATTAAACCTTTGTACCAATTAGTATGATGTGCAAGCTTTCATTTCAACCAGTAAGTCAAAAACATACAAACTAACTAACCTTTCATCAGCTGTCTCATACACAATACTGGCCAACTGGATTATATATCAGTCATTATTTATCCTCTTTTCAAAAAAACTCAATTACAGAGCTCAAAAAAATGAGTTCTGTAACTTGGCTAGTGTCCAAAGCGAGCAAAGAGAAGACCAAGGAAGCTTTAATGTTAACTTGCTAACAAATATTTTATTATTCCAAACCACTCTAATTCTACCTCATACTACATGCCCCAAATTATACTACAACCACACAAAGGTGTCATCTAGTTACAGTAAGTTATATACTGCACAGATCAGAAACTAGTATGTATTTTGGACAGATATTCAGTGTGAACAGCAATAAGCTAGTAGGTTTTTTGCTAGTTAAAAATTGAAAAAATTACTGCATATAACAAGTTATTTGGAAATTAAGTCTCCATAATTTCACAAGCCAAAGCTGAAAACAGAGCCTCCCTCTTGAACTATAAAGCACTTCAAAAATAGAATAGTCTGAATAGAATAACCACTTACACAGGGACAAAAAGCTACACCAATTCCAAATTCAATGTGTTAGAAAACAGATCAGAAAAAAGAAAATAAAATTGTGCTGTTGTTTAGTGTAGAGGAATAAACTTGTAACGGAGAGTTGTGATCTCCCTTCTCTGTATATGAACAAAGTTACATTGACTCAGAATCATTTAGGTTGGAAAAGACCCTTAAGATCATAAAATACAACTATAAGCCATGACAATTCACAAAATTTATTTTCCAGAATCCTTTCCAAAGCTAAACTGCCCTTTTATTCAAGATCAAGCAAAAATGTCCACGCTCTCCAAAAAGTTGAATCTGTTTGAAAGAAAATTGTACGTTTTCTCAGTTGTGTCCTCACTTAGAGGTTATTGGTTCACACCATGACAGTCTCAGAAAGCATTCTTTGCTAATTAAACTGTACTAAAAGATTCCTTCCACCAAGCCCATGAGACCAGTTTACAGCTAGCTCTAAATAAAAAGTTCGAAGCACAGATAGCGTGGGCAAACTCCCCAGCAACAACTGTTTCACATATCTGTTCATACCACACTTAGTAACATAAACCACAGCCTACAGTGACTGGCTCTCAGAAATAATTCTATCTCAGAACCTCTCCATCCCAGCCCTTCTATTAACAGTCAAGACACAATCAACACAACACAGCATATGCTGGATCCAACTGATCTGCTTTTGTCTGGCTGGATCACTATGCTTTGAAAACCCAAACATACACATGATTAACAGACAGTGACCAACTCACTTCTCACCACTGCTCCTTAAACATCCTGGGTAGATGGGAAGAGATCAGTCATGCACCTCCTAAGGAGTTTCAAAACTGCTGCTGCTCTCTCTTAGTAAAGCCAGAGTGACTAAAGACTTGCCACTATCTAATTTATAGCTAATTATCTGTACATTTCTATATAGAAACACACATTTCTATATAGAAACACACATTTCCAGGCAATTTCATCCCCTGGTCAATGTCACTTGCGTTCTACAAAGAGATCCATCACCCTACCACTGGAGTACTGGAGGGATTCCTAAGATAGCTCAAGAAGGATAAATTTTATGAAGAGCTCAAAAATAGCCAACAACAGACTACCTACGCATTACAGGTAAAACAGAAAATTCTTGGCAATCACCCACGAGCTGTATTAAGGCAGAGAAAAGAACAGGGTGTCAAAATGACCCTTCAGCCTGAACAAAACTATGAATGCTGCAGAAATGGAGCATGGGACAGCTAAGGAGCAAACTTGAAAAAAATGCAGTTGTGTCTAAGACATCAGAAGGGATTAAAGCTTCACTATTGAAGTACTGCACTGCAACTATTCACTGTCAATGTCAACAAGTAAGGACAGTCTTAAAGTGATTTCACAGCAATTTGAAGCTAAGCAAGAACAAAAAAGCAGATTTGATGATGCAGCTCATAAACACTTTTGTTAGTAAATTCAGGTGCTCTGCACTGAACAAAAGGGGCGCTCCAAGAGTGAAAAATGGGAAAAACAGAAGTTTGGTTACCCACAAGAATTAAACACATAGTTGACAATTCTAATACTAAATTCTAAAGCAATATATTTCATGGAAATATATTTTATGAAATATGCGTATCAGATTCCGCAGTTTATTTTGAGCATCAGCCCTTTCAGATTATAACAGAAGGTTAACAAAAAAGATCTGTCTTAAAGTACAAGTACAATCCTCAGTATTACAGTACAAGGCAGCCTTTATACTTTGTTCAGAAAACCATTTTCAGTTTAACTACAGTATAACTACACTGAACCTTAACAAAATTAATAGTCTGTTTGCATAAATATCTGCACACATATCACATATTTAATGTAAGCATTCTACTGTGTGTGAGATCTGTCAAGTTTTGAAACTTGTGTGTGCAATCTAGAAAGAAGGCTTCCTTGAAACATAGTCAAGTTTTTTCTATTTTATTTTAATCAATAGCACCTTTAAATGGAACACTATAAACCAGTAAAGAACTGTCCATTTTTTGCAACTAGAAAGTAGTTGAATTATGCACCAGCTTCTTTTTCCTCTCTGGGAACCAAATAGAAGTAGTTTAAGCACTGCATTAGGAAAGGTCTAACTAGCCATAAATAGAAACACAATTGAAAAGCTAAGTCAATGAATATCACACAAGATTTGAAAACACCTTAGTATTCTAGAAAAGTTGCCAGTGTGCCACAAGAAGTTAATTTTCTCTCAGCTTTAACATCAAGCAGCATTAAATATCCTGCTGTCTAGAACATCAGGCTTTAGTAATAGATCCTTGCTTGAAAAATACGGAACAGTAATGGGCACAGCCTAATGAACAGTCTATTAACCCTAAATAAAGGTCAATTGATCTACAAATTTTATCATAGACAGACTTCTAGACTGGAAATTGCTGTGAAAGATGAGTATCTATGCTAAAGAGCACCCATTTTACAGGGCTATTACCTTGTCCAGGTCTTGAGGTTGCAGATGTTCCAGCAGATGGTAGTTCAGTCTCCTGCCAATTAATTATAAATAACATTATCTGAATGCTCAGCTCCATAGTACCTTCCATATTACATCAGTATCACTAACAAGACTCACCTTTGCACTCGATTCTGGATCAAACCTTTCAAGGATTAGTTTAGCAGTCTTGTATGTTTCCTTTTCCATTACTTCCTCAAGCTGGAAAGAGAAAGGTTCCACACATCAGTAATTTTTCAAGTATTTCCCCCCACCATAGCCTCCCATTTACAAGCATCTTATCCATGTTACCAAAAGGTGAAGCTCATCCATGAACCAGGAGCATTTTCAGATACCTGAGGATTTGCTATATTCAATGGAAAATAAATTTTGCTTTCAAAAATAGTTTCTAAACTCTAATGGACTACTTGTACTTAACAGCTTTATTGCAAGGAAACACCAAATATTGCTAATTGTTTACATATAATGAGGAGAATAATTACAAGCACCAACTTCAATAATGGAATGTGCAAAAATCTATCAGCCATCATTATTGGAAGTTATTAGACATGACAAGCAAATGACAGGCAATTCCTTAGATTTATTTCCTCATAGCACTTAATGCTATTAATTTAAGGAAGGTCGTTAGCCAAGTGCTTTACAGAATAAAGTCCCTGTGCCAATTAACTGCTGTCAGCATCGATTTTAGATTATTTATTAGCAGAAGCAATTAGCTTGCTGCAAATGCTGTGAAAACTCACTAACTGGAGAAGAGCCATGGAATTGCTCAAATGACTTTAAAGGCTGGATCTACATCTTTACAGCAATTCAAACTGCTTTTCAGAAAAAGGAACATGTTAAGAATTTAAACAAAAAAATTTACTGAAAACTATGCATACTTTAGGGAGTGTAATTAAAGCACTTCATTATTACGGCGTTTTATTTACAATGCACTCAAGTGGCTTTATAGCTAATACATGGGCTTAATTAAAAAAAGTAATCACTAGTAAAGTATTATTTTAGTGGTTAACAGCCAACATCAGAAGCAGTTTAACTTTAAAACTGAGATAGCTGAAGTTATGACAAATATCTACAGAAATTATAATACATTTTAATGTATCTTAAGCAGACCTTTCTTCCTAGATATGCTGACTAATGGCCACGTTCAGCTAAAAGTGGGGACTTTGTTCTCAAGTCTGCTGTTGGCATAAACTGCAAGACTGAAAAGGTCAGTGGTCAAAAAATTAAATTCTCTCAAACTCATTTATCACTGCTAAAATAACAAATGGTGCAGGTTAACATGAATTTTATGCCATTATTTAGCTAGTGAGAATCTAAAGTTTCAGCCATTCTCCACATACAGACTGTGCAGGAGCTTTGCATTTAGACAGACCTTAGGATTACAAATAGACCTCAGAAGCTAAATAAAAATTCACTCCATTTAATGGCTACTGTGTATTCATTTAACACTCACTCCTCCACAGATTTCTTGAAGTTTGAGCCAAGGAATACTATCCAGGCTGTTAATTAAGGACTGTTGAAACAAAAGGGAGTGAAGAAGGAAGTAAAAATCAATTTCCTAAACTTGTATTTCAGCATCACTTTGGAGTTAACCCACTAACTTCGTAAAACAAATGCCACACAGTGCAATAAGAGTAGAATTAATGACCTAATAGGAAAAATAAAGTATTTATGGCCTATAAAAGTAAAAACTGTAAGACAGACTTTTATACAAAGGGGTAAGGCTAGTGAGGTGAAGCAGCGAAGTGGGGAAGCATTAACAGTCGGTGCTAATATTTGGCTGCCAAATCGAAATTTTAAAAACCCAATTCAGTTCACATCAATGAACATAAAACACACGCTATTGTCTGTATAGCCAAAAAGAAAAATGAGAAATAATTTTCTGCAGGACAAAGTGACCTTTAGGGGAGAGAAAAACCAGAATGCTCCATCACTTGACACTTTCTTTATCTAAAGCACTTCTCGCCACAGCACTATTAGATAGTACAGTAGCTATTTGTGGATACATAAGTTTTGCATAAACAGTAACATTATTTCAAAGCATAATTCAACTCTCACCACAAGATTCAGATGTGGAAGTTACCCTTCACATTGCCTAGTTTTTGGATAATTCAGCAAGTTACTTACTCTTCATATTTTGAAATTCATATATAGCTTTAAAATTCTCGTAAAGCTGAATCTGAACAAGAATTCAGTATCACAACTGGCTCTTTAAAAATTTCTTGAAAATATATAAAAATTTTCAGGATTTCTACAAGCATATTCACATTTCTCATGCTTTCACTTACAGAGTATGCTTTTCCAAAGTAAATTGAAATTTGGCTGACAATACCAAATAAAGAATCAAAAAGGTCCAAGTTTATTTACTATGTGTAAATCAGTGTAATTACTGGAAAGTAAGAGCCTGTATCAAATTTAAATACTACTTCTGTGTTTGCATAGCAGAGGAAACGGGCTGTTGTGCCAACACAGGCAACTCATTTATGAATACAACCAACACACTGACTTCTGGAACACTCACCATCCTGAAGCATAATCTTGGAAAGGTTAACTTAATGCTGAGCTCTAACACAGCAAAATGCTCAACACCTTTTACTCTTTTTCCATAATCCAGTCTTCTCTGAGATCCAACACTTTTCCTAAAAAATCATTTTCCTTTCAGCCAAGGGCTAACCCATAGTCTATCCTTATCAATAAAATTATAATGCTGAGCAACCCAAATCACAAGTGAACTAGGAAAGGTAATACAGTCTGAGCAAGAATTTTTCATGGAATTAATGAGATCTTAATAAAGAAGCATGTTCCCAAATTCTCTTCCTATGAAGAACTGCCTGGATAAACTCCTTCCCAACAGGCAACCAAACAGAATTCCTGTGGGAATGACATCAGCTGCCTAAATTGAGTAGTATGAGTAATATATTTTAAGCTTCTTGTAAAGACAATTTAGCAATCAAAGACTTAAGCCCTGGCATGATGCAAACCACTCATTATTCACCATACTACCACATGAGTTCATAAATTGAGAATTACTTGGTATGCCAAACCCAGCTACGAGGAGGTCTTTCTGTATGTTCACACAAAGCCATGAAACTCATTTCAGTCTACCATTTAAGATATACCAGTACACATTACAAAAGTTTCATAAAATTCAGAAATAAATAATTTAAGTCACAGTAATCAAGTATACTCTGAACAGATTCATGACAACATTAAAACGTCCAAGGCAACTGACCCTTTGTCAGTAAATATGATTTTTAACTCTATTTTGAGTTTCCAGTTGCGTATTTGCAGTATTCTAGCATTTACTGGTTAGACAAAAATGGGCTTATACGAGAACCAAATCCTAGCTGAGTTTTTATCACATACTGAAAGTTATCAAAATATCAATGGTTATCTGCATCTAGAAGGCTGTAGACAAGATTAAACAGTAATTAATTAAGTTACGGAACTCATATGCTGGTTCGGTTTTTTTCCCATTACTAACAACTCCAAGACAGTCTTGAAATCAGACTAGCTGGGTATTTTTTCCAGATTAACAGATGCAATTTCAAAACTCCTACCTGAAATGGTTTGGAAGTCTGTTAAAGTCTAATATTACATTCAGCCTGCTATTCAAAGTAGCTGAGCAAGCTTCAGCAAAGTTTGATTCTAAAATTAGCAAGGTAATTACTATACTAGCTTCACAACTTTGTCCTCAGGCTAAGAATTATCCCATCTTTAAAACTGCTGTTCCAGGTAAACTCTCCACTAATTCCCCGTTGTATCAGCTTAATACATGTCCTGCGCCCTTGCTTTAATATGCTTAACCCTCTGAACTTGTTCATCTACCCATGTTCAGGCTTAAGGGCTGACATCCTCATTAACTGAGAAACTCTGAGGCCAAAATCACAGCTAAGTAGTCACGAACACAACCACAGTATCCTTTATGATCAAGGAGGGGAACAAAGTTGTATCTTGATGTAGTGCCTTAATTACAACTATTTAATTTAATCCCTACCTCCAGTTAACTCAACAAGCTTTAAAATACTCACTAGGAAGAAAACAGCATAGAGTCAGTTCTGTGAGAAGTAAGTATCACACGAACTTTGAGTCAAAGTACAGGATAGACACTACTAATGGTAATTTCCAGATTAAGTATCTGTATTTGTAAAGTGTTTTATCCACATGAGTATCCACATGACTATGAAACCAAAGCCAGGAGAGAAGTTAAAGAGAAATTAGTTACTATTGAGCAGTCACTGCAAACCCACCAGGGCATTACAGCAGGTGAGGAGCTTTCACCATTTACAGGTAAGCCCTGTAACACCCGTATGTCCCTCCAGCACACAAGTAATGTCTGTAGGGAAAAGGTGGGCTACGTGTCTCTAAAACACAAGTACTATAACAATTTTCAGAAGGACAACTGTCTTCAATATAAGATCAGCAATTAGGTAGCTGAGCTGCAACATAGTGAAAAACCACAGCTGTTGCAGCAGGCTCAGTTCCTAGACAACAATTTGCATTACAAATAAACAGGAAATACATAATTTACTTATCCTAAATACTTTGAGGACTACAATGTAAATTTCTTAACTAATCCTATTTGCAAACTCAGCAGCAAATCAGAATTCAACATGAAAAAAAATATCTCCCTCCCCATTATTTCACTTGATTTTTGTTTTACTAAAAAGTAGGTTATTCATAGCCAAAGACATTCCTAAGGAAGTTATTCAAACAAAACAAAATCAAATCTGAGTATTATCAAAATGAAATTTTACAGAATGCAATTTATTCAGTACTTTTTATCTAAAACACGAATCAGACTCTGTCTTGTTACCTGCATCCCCTCTTAGCTCATTTCAACATGTTCTGATTCATGAATAATTATCTAATTTTAATGCTTAATTGAACATCTTAAATTATAATGAACCTCTTGAGTCCATCTTCTGAGTAAAAGGTACAACACTGCACTGATTCAAGAGGTTGCAGTAAGTCCTCTGTTTCTGGTTCCTTGCTAGGAACCAAGCACCCACAAGATCACATGATAATCACAGACTGAAAAACAGCCAAGTTATACATTATTGGACTACAGAACTGTTTCAGTAACCAATTTAGAAGTTTGTCTTAAATGATTAAAGCTTGACTTGCATATATACTCATGGCAATTTACACTTTCATATTTAAATTCTCTATAGTCACACTCTACATTCATTATTGTTTATGAAGTATTTATGCAGCTGTTTCATTTTTGTGTTGTGCATTGTTTCATCCTGGTTCTTCGACAGCATGTTGTTTTGATGTTTTGCATATGCAAAATACACATTTAGGGTTTTTTCTGACTAATCTTTCATTCAATGTCTTTTGTCCTAATTGCTTCTCACACACAAAAACTCTGTATTACTTGTTCTTCTAGAAAAAAAATTTTCATGATTACAGAAAACTAAACTGAAACTGAAATGAAGACTTCACATTTAAGATTCCAAAAACTCTTTTGTTCTCCACTGTGCTTTTTTTCCTTCAACAACTTTTCCTTTAAGGCTGCCATATGACTATGTTAATTGGAAACATTAACTAATTTCAGTTAAGTAGTTTTCATAAAATAACATAGTAGTCATGCTCATTTCTTTCTTTCCTAGAAAATGTCAGCCTCTCGAAATGTCAGTTCCTCTCGAACCCCTTTATATCACCACTACAACCAAAGGACACATCCATTTAAATATTAGCAAATCATCTTTACCAAAGGACAGTGACATAATTAGGTTACAGCTTATCATTCTTACATCTACATTTTAAAAGTGATAAAACACAATTTTTGGTACCTTTCTTGTGGGCTTTTTATTAATTTAGCTACCATGGCAAAATCCAGAAGGTATGAACACTTTGGGAAACTTACAAATAACAACACCTCATAATAGAAATTTTGGAGTTTTTGGAGGGAGGAGGAGCTGCTTTGGCAGGGTAGGGTTGGGGGCGGAGATTGTTTGGATTGTGGCAGTTTTACCTTATAAGGCAGATGAAGCCGGTAAGAAAACAGGTAAGATTATAAGGCAGATGAAGCCGGTAAGAAAACAGGTAAGAAAAGAAAACAGCTTCCTCTCTCAGCAAGTTTCCTTATGGAGTGATTAAACAGAGAGGAAACAGCTTTCAAGGTTAAAAACTTCACAAAGAGAGCAAGTTATCCAAGATTTGGAACCTTTTCCATCCTAAATTTTTCATGTCGAGATTAACTGTTGATCATGTTTGGAGCAAATATTTGGCATACACCAGTTTTGGTGAACCATAACAACCATTTTTTCTTAAAGTTTTACTTACTATTTTTTTCTTTTGGGACTTTAAATCTTCCAGTGCATCATCTAAAAGAAGAACATTATACATTAGTTTTCAAATATAAATTAAAATAATTCCAGCACACTCTAAACATTGATTTCACCTTGCAAAATCAGGAAAAATTATGCACTGACCACTACCAGCTCTAAACATCAGCAAACTTTGTATAAAATAACTAGAGTTTTTATGTGAAAATAAATCACTTAAAATGCTGAAACTGCTTATAAATTATAGCCCACTGTTATCACTTTACAGTTATAACTATTAAAAAATTTTATGTACCATTTCCTCATTAAGCAAACCAATTCTAGCCAGTGCCCCGCTTTGACCTACATTAAAACTGGTACAACAATGAACCAAATACATTTAATCTCTTGAGTCAAAATACGGAAAAAAGCTTGAGGTCTAAGCATTAATATATCTGAGTACCAGATTTACTGGCTTCAGTATTTCACATAAACCTCTTAACACATACTAGTTTCAAATGCCAGGTCAATTCCAAGCTTCAAAGCTCAATCTATTTCCCCCTTTCTATACTCTCAGACTACAGCAAAGCCCCCAGTTTTGTAAGAACAGTTTACTGTGGGTGTTTCTTTCTGATCACTTTACCTCCTGTACTCAACAAGAACCTCATGAAACACCTGCCCCTTCAAACGTGGCCAAATGGCAATTACTGCAAAGTACTCTCAAGAAACCAACATATCTCATCTTAATTAAACCTACAGAAAAAAAAAAAAAAAAAGAATTCATACTAGAGAAGTCAATACTTGAAATATACCTCATTTATTTTCTCCACGCTTCGGGACAGATCAGCCTAAATCTTTAACAGTTGTTTGCCTGACCAGTCCTAAAAACTGAAATTCCATCATCTCCCTGTATCACCTTCCCTGGAGTCTAGCTACAAATTTTCCTCATTCACAGCATCACTCCCAAATCTGGTGTATACCGGTTATTCAGCACAAAGCTTTATTGTATTAAATAACCACCTCCAGTGTCTCAGTATGTTATACTAACTTATCCCAGAATAAAATCTTAGCTTTGATCAACTTGGTTGACAGTTTGCTCTCTCAGATACACTTTCTCCTGCTTTACTGCTTCAACTCTACATTTGATTTTTCTTTTTTAAATATAGGACTTTTATCTCTGAGGTAAAACACTTTATTTTTATCCAGTCTGTGGAACCACACAGAAATAATCCCTTTTGGCATGTTCTATCATCTACTAAACCCTTTAAACACAGGTTCAACAAAGGCACTAGACTTGCCTGTATGCTCAAAACAGCAATAAAGACATTTAAGCAAACTAGAAAAACATACTTTTTTTCTTATCCAGCCATGAAATGCAAATCATTCGTTTCACCTTAGAAATGAATCACACAGCACCACAGAATATATGGACAATTTTATTTCTACATAAAAATGCATGTTCTGCACTTGCATATCAATTGCAAACATTAAGTTTAAGAAAAATTCTAAAAGTGATGTTTAACTTGTAAGCTGTCACAAATTAAATACATCATGCTGTTCTGCGAGTCATAAAACACAGTGCAACACTGAGGTTTTCCTGTATTATTGCTCACATCACCATGAGATATTGTTACAGGCTGGACTGCTTTCAAGGAAAGTCTCAAATGAATTCTAACTACTGCAGACAAGTGCCACAGATGCTGTTTTTAAATAGCATGCAGATTCATTCTAATGCAAAATTTAACAACTTTTTATTTATATTTGAACACCTCCATTGCTTTTCAGTTTTGTTACATGACTGCCAATTTTCCTTAGCTCTCAAAAAAGAAAAAAAAAACACCTGCTTATACCTTTCCCACTCATGAAAACATAAGTATGCTTTGGAGAACTTGGGAGAGAAAAGATATCTTGACAAATAAATTAGACACATCTGCTATAAATCTCTTCGCTTTTGTATAAGGATAACAGATTAAGACTGCTGGAATACTTGTGAGATGCAAGTATCAAGGGAACTACTACTACTTCCCCTTGCTCCTACACCAATTTTATTCCAATACAATTTTGACACATGCAAAGACAGAAGAAAGCATAATTTTATAAGTGAAGTGGTAGATTAAGCAGTTTCCCTCCTGTTCCTTCATGAACTATGTGGTAGAAAAAAGTTTAGCTAATACTACCCATTTCAGTATCAACTAAAAGGCTACCCTTGTCTTCCTGGAAGCTGAAGGATCAAAAGCATTTGCATTATCATAGCAAGCATCACTCTGAACTAGCTATGTATTCTAAAAAAAAACCACAAGGAAAAAATACTTACTATTCCTTTCTGTCCGTTTGGAAAAGAAAAAAATGAGCAGTGTTCTTATACACCAGATTCTTTAGAAGAAAAAGAAAATTTTATTAATTAAAATATATTACAGTAACCATTTCTGAACTCATTTAGCAAACAAAACATTTACCAGATGAGATTTTTTTTTCTTTTGCAAATACAAAGGACAGTATTTATATACGAGACTAAAAATTTTCTTGTTGACAAGCATCTTGTCAACAAGATACCAATATTGCTCTAAATAAAATCATCTTTTCTATTAAAATTAACTGTTACTTGAGGCAGAAATACTAAGGCAGCAGCAGCAATATCATCACTTCCTAAAAAATGTTCAGCTGAAAATTACTTAGTCATCACTTTTTATTTGATAGATTTATAATGCATTTTATGAAAAAAAAAAAAAAATAAAACTTACCAGTTAAGGCCCAAAATTAAGGCCCAAGAGATTTGTGGGAAGAATTCTGATACCAATGAAAACCATGAGATAAAGCTATTGTACAAAGGCTCTCCTAAGCAGAATTAACTGACCTGAGTCCTAGTGATTTTAGAGAGCTCTAAGTCTATTCAGTTTCTGTAGGGTTTCAGCTGACTTAGCTGCAGCAGTTTATGTCAAGATGAAGTTAAACTGATCTATGACTATTTTACATTTGAAAGGTCTCTCTGCAATCATCAGGACTTCATTTGTTTTAAAGCTTAGAATTGCTTTTAAATATTAAGCTGACACTTCTCCTGGTAAGTTATTCAGTCTAAGCTAAGTGGCAAACCTCATACACCAAGCCATTCAGAGCATCCAAAACCCTCCTGTGCTAATTAAATAATAAAGCCTAAATTAGCAATGTTTCATTTAACAGAAAAAAACAGAGGCCAGACAGGTTATCTGACTAAAAGCATGCATAAGAAAGCAGGCAAAAGGCTCCAAGAGCTTTGACTTAATTCATAAGAATTATTTTTAATTCCTAAGAACATCATCTTTATTTAGAACATTCTGTATTTATATAATGGTTGACCAGACAAAAATGCCTTCACGTATTAACAGCACAGACCAAGTTAGGCAAGTTAGATGAGGCAACTGGAATCTGAGAGCAACCTATCCAAGGGAAGAGAAACAAAGAAGTTTAACTATCCCTTGCTCAAAGGTGTGCTGTAATAATTGATCCAATAATGCAGGTGGATTTATCTAATTACACAACCCAAAATGTGTCTTCATAAAGTAATAGAAGAAATAAATGTTTACAGGGTTTAAATTGCCTTAAATACCTTGTTACAAAGATACAAGGCAAAAGCATTATTTCTTTTTTAATGTATGCTGAATAGTCTTTTACCTAGAGCTGTATTCTAAATATGAAATAATTCAGACATCATGAAACAACAAAGCATTTCCTCTTTAAGAAATCCAAGATGAAAGTTTACTAGCTGACCATTTCCACCAATTTTACAAAAAAAAAAAAAAAAAAAAAAAAAAAAAAAACACATTTCTGTGTAAATCAGGACATGTGAATTAGATCCAATTCAAACAGAAACCAGTTCAAGAAAAGCATCCTCCTATTTAGAGTATTTCAGTACACATTTAAAATTAATGAAGTGATATTCCTGAAACTTAACTTGCTCTACCAACATCAGTAACTTGCTGAGACCCTGAGGGACTGACCTAAGGCAGAAATAAGTTGGTGACTGACTGCAAGCTGGAAAAGGCAGACATACTCCAGTTTGATTAGGTCTGAAAAATCTCTAGAGCTATTACTGGGTGGCACCAGGCTTTCAGCATGGAGTCACCTCTTGACCGAGAACAAAGACATGCTGGCAGCTGCTTGCCATTCATATCTGCCAAAAAAAGCTGAAGGGGAACAGCTTAAGGAAAAAAAAATCTGATAAACAGTTGCAAGTCATAAGAGAACAACAGTCTGATTCTAAGTGCTAGTAAGATGATGTCTAAATCAGAATATTACAGAGAACCATCCTGAGAAAAAGAAGCAGAACTGGAAGACAAACTAGAGAATAAAAGACTAACATGTAAATTCAAACCACAGCACCAGAAGCCATCACCTTCAATAATAAAAGCTTTAATTTCTACACTAATTCTAACAAACCTATGTGAAAGGAGGCTGGTAATACTTCCTCTTTTACAAGCCTTTCCTATCAGCATGAACAAGCTTCACACACTAACAACAAAGACTTCGAAATGCTTGTCCTTAAGAACAAAACTAATTCATATCACTGCCAAACGTTAATTTGAGCTCTAGTTTCTGTAATAATCTTTTCCAGTCAACACACTGCTGCCCATGTATCTTCTCCAGAGGAGTCCACAATAGCAGCCTATCAGTGAAATTATGGATAACACAGTATGACATACAAAAAGCATCTTCAAGCTGGGGGTTTTCCACATGTTACGTTATGCTGACCCACACTCATCAAACTTACAAAGCCTCAAATATTTACTTTTGACTTTACCTTTCAAGTCTAAAGCTAGGACATCTACAAACGATGCTTTCATACTAAGGTGCTGTTATGACCATTTTAGCAAATTAGTAAATGTACTGTGCTCACTGTTGGTAGGAAAGATGCTCAGTAGGCTGCTCTCACCTCCCTGAAGGACTGGAGGAAAGGCAGCAAAGCAGCTGTTCAGTGAGGTGGAAGCCCATTTTGTTCCTTTTGGAAAAGTAGACTTCTAAGACAATGAAAGCCAGCCATCAGGATAAGTGTGGAACAAATATGTAGGCAATACTTTCCCCAATCCACATACAATGAAGTCTGCGTATTTTCTTGCTGAAGAAAGCAGTCAATGATTTTCCAGGAAAACAGCTGATCATGTAAAACTAGTTTTCAACACACTTTGGGTGATGACCTTTCAAGTCAATTCTGAGTTAACAGTCATCTAACACATGAAAGTAAGTTCCTCCATTCATTTTTGTATTTTTCCCAGGTTTATACACTACATTTTACACATAGGTGATGCACCTTTGGTTCCTTCCATATAGTAATGTTACTTTTCAAATTGCAGTAAAAACAAAACCCAAGAATGCTCTTGTGCTTATACTACATCACCTTACAGCTGTTCAGATACAGCTCTCTAGCCCCAGTATAATTTTGATAAGCCAAGTAACTTCAGATGCTATTATCTTTTGATGATAAGACTTAGTTCTATACTAAACTTAGACCCATGAGAGACATTCCCCTCAAAGAAAGTGTCTGCCTAACTACATGAATTTATTTTAGAAGAAAAAATTCAGCAAGTTATGACATCTCAAGAATTGTCAAAGCAAACTCAAACCCCTGCTGAGATGTATTTTCCATCTCCTTTTATCAAAGAGACAGCAGTTAGAAAATAAAAAAGGCATATTTACTTACATCAATGGAAATGCAAAAAATGGAAGTGTCATTGTCAGCCTTGCTGTCCATTCGTCAGGAAGACACCACAAATATACAATTAAGCAAGTAATAAGGTAAAGAACTGAGGAGTAGAGAAGAAGCCTTCCAACCCATAGTTTCTGTAGCCTCTGATTTTTTTCTCTGAATTCTTCTAATGTCTGTATTTCCTGCAAATAAACAGGGTTCAGCCTTATTAGTGTAAATAGCCTTATTAATGCAAATAGTAAGAGGTTTTACTAAGCTGCCTTTAAATGTTTGCAAATATCAACCCTATCAGTTTGATACTTGATTAGAAAAGTCAAGCAGCTTTTTCATAAATGACAATATTTGCCCATGGACAACTTTCATAGCATAAATACTCCACACTAAAGATTATGGTATGGGCCACTTGCACCTTATTAGCAGCTGATAAGGAAAGTTTAAAATCATCACTTTTTCACATTTGTAACTCATTAGTATATTCAAGACAAGTGAAAAATACAAGTATCCTATGAATGGCAGTCTTTACTGTCACATAAATGACTACTAACCATACTCAGCATTCTAAAGCTCTCATCAGATACCTGCGGAATTTTAAATGCCTCTAACACTTTCCTAATAACATGGGAAATTACTGGAACCTCTCCATCATTTTACTTGTTCTCATTTCAGTTCTTTCCTCACATTAAGAATGAAATCCTGAACATCTGTATGATGCTTCTGGTATATTAATAAGTGATCAAGCAATGCTCTGCTATTAATGCAATTAACCATTTTGACTGTATTTCAAGTGACAACAGAAGTACTCACACTTTCATTAAAAGGAAAACAAAAATATCAACAGCATATTTCAAAACACAGAGCACAGACATATTTCCCCACAGAGCACAGCCATCTGTCACAAATGCTGGTGAAAAATCACAATTGATTACTGAAAAATCTGTATTTGTTACACAGTTATTCTGTCCCTGACCTTATTTACTTCCACTACAGTTACAACTTCTACACATAAAACCATACATTGAAGCTTTTCTAATCAAACTGATGAATGGAACTTTGCATTAGTGACATTTTCCATTACATGGGACTTTAACCATTAGTTATAACTGAATTGCATAATCAAGGCAGCTTCATATTCATTCCCATTTCAGGCTCTCTAAATAAATATTTGCCATGTAGTTTCTCACTATCTATTGATATTTTTTAAATTACTAAACAGTAAGGGGGAAAAAAGAGAACAATTCCTCTGATATGTAGAATCTCTACTACTGGAATAATTACCAAAATAATTTAAAATTTCAAGAGAGTATTTTATCTAATGTGAGAGAAATACATGGCCAGCAAAAAGAAGGTATATTTCTAAACAAAAAAATCAAACAAAACACCAAAATGCAAACACATACCTTATCTATTTTTTCTAATACTTCTACAGTGGAAGGTTTTGCCTGCTTACAAGGGAAAGAACAAAGATATTAATATCACTTTTAAAAACTCGGTATTTTGAGGATTACTGTACATTAACAGTTTCCTAACAAAAAGACATTCATAAAAGATTAATAAATTATCTGTTTTGCATAAAGGTAAGAAGATTTCCTACTTAAGTGTGACAAATAGAAGGGACCATAACGAATCACTGCTTTACAGCTGGCATTACTCCTAACTGAAGGCTCCAATCCTACATCACAAAAAATGAAAACCTCTAATGCATCTACAGCAATAATGAATGTGTGGGTGGAAACTAAAACAAGAACAGAATTGATGAGTGGCAGAAATAGGCAAAACACAGAATATATAGAGGAAGCCCTAACCTGAGTACTCCGGCTTTTTATTACTATTCATTCCATATAAGGACACATGGTGTAAATAAATCATAAGCAACTGCAAATAAGGGCTGTCATCACTAGTAAAATTCCCCATAGGAGCAACTGGAAATCCACCTTCTAGGAATCTTTCCTAATTTCTGAGAATTATCAAGCCACAATCTTTTACCACCCTTCACACCACAAATTCAAAAACCACAGCTCACAGTGCATCACCCTGAAAGTGAAGTTCCATCATACAAAACTGACATTCCACCTAAAGTTTAACCTTTAATGGAGTTTTGTATGGAAGGCTCTGAAGTCAACTGCCAATAAGCAAAGGCAAACCTATGACTAAAACAACTCACACCTGCCAGGAAAGTAGTCAAAAACCTCATGCCTCTTCTTCCTTATAAACTCAGTACACCACTCAATAACCAATAAAAGCAGATAAAAAGTCAAACTTGTACTGGACTAAGGAGCTACCAAACTATTTGTCAGAACAGCCAGAAATGTATTCTGCACATACCCATTTTTACCTATGTCGCCAATGCTTCAAATCACAGATGCTGCAGCTTCTATCCCAATGATGCACCACAAAAGCATTTAGATTCACAGAAAGAGTTACAACTGTATTTTTTTAAGTTAACCAAGAAAGTGCCAGAGTGGTCCTGCAAAGGAATTGTAGGAAGCAGCAGAGTTTCACAGCTTAGTGATTTAGCAAAGAATACTTTTGGTCATGATATCTCACTATTGGACTTTTAAGCGACATAAAGGAAAAGTTTAAGACTATCATTCAGCCAGCATTAATAGTCAACATGTCCTAGGTACTTCCACCTTCTAGACTAAAGATTATTACATTGTTACACAATGTTACTTACCCTCCATCTTGAAATTAGTCCACCCATCTTCTATTGTGGACAAATGTTGGCAGAGCTATCAATCTTCTACAAGAATTCACAGCTAGAAATAAAGCATTAAGCACTTAGGAACAATCTAACAACAGAATCAAAGATTCTCAAATTCATTCCATCTTCTTAAGGAATCAAAATATTGTTTAAAGCCGTTGTCTAGGTATCTATCTATGTGTAATTTTTAAATTCAGTTTTCTGATTCACAGACCATCCTGTAAGTCGGTTGATCAGCTAAGATGTGGCCAAAGTTTTTTATTTTGGAAATACAAAATCAGAGGGGAGTTCTCAAAAATGCAGGCACAAATGAACTGCAAAAAGAGCCACCAAAATGCTCCATCAGAAAAACAATTTTAAAAACTTAGTATTGGGCAGGATTATTTAAGATTTAACTAATTTCCAGTTATTTCCTCTGCTGCCCCTAAGCATAACTCAGTATTCCTTTTTAGCTGTCACTCCAGGCATTTAACATTAACATCTTTCTGTTCATGGGAAAAATTCTAAAATAAATCTATTTCCTTTTTATGCTCTCATCAACAAGAATATGCTGGATAGCACTATTGTTCTTTTGTGTGCTCAGTTTTAAGTTCAAAGAACCAGTTTCAAAGATTTCATTTGCTATACAAAAGCACTACATTGGTAGGTCTTCCCTGCTCAACCCAGTAATCAGCACATCAAATGAACTCTAAAACTGTTCCAAAGGGGCAAGAGCAGCTCACTTCACCCTACACAAACCTGGAACCCATGAACAATATTATTTGATGATCTGCGTCTAAGCTCCTGAACCAAAATTGTAGCAACTTTCCATTACAAGACAGTTGAATTAATTGAACCTTAGGATGGCAGATTTTCTCTCCAGTCATTTAATACACAAGTTTCTTACCTATTGAACAAAAAAGTAATCTGTTCAAAACAACCCTGACAGTAAACTAATGCTCAATCCCAACCAGGGTTCAAACCTTTTTCATTCCGGAATGAAACACTACTACTTACTAAAACAAAGCACAGATCTAGCTGGACAGAAATAAAAGTGATCATTATCTTGTTTATTAAGTTTCCTTTGGCCGAAAATGGAAATATATATTTCAGTCCAAATTTGTTTTCAAATTGTCTGAGGCTGTTAGAACAATTTCACAGGTATAAGATATGCACTGCTCACTAGCACAAACACTACTGAAGTGTGGTAATCTCTTCATTTTTTAGGAAAGCCAAGGACTTCAGAACTATAGGCCCTACTGGCTTCAGAAACCAATCCTTAAAGAAAAGGAAGAAATGCCATGAAAACGAAGCAAGAGCAGATGGGCAAATTAGCTCTGCTGCTGCCAAATTAGCAGCACAAAGGGGTGAGATATAGAAAAAGCAATTACCCCTTGGACTCGAACAAATTCTCAAAATAAGCACTACTGGAGCAACTCACCTCAGTAAAACAGCCATCTTTCTTTTTTTAAACACACAATCTAACACAAAGAATTTTACACAGCTGTGACTTTGCATATACAGGCAAGTTTTTTGCAGGATGGGTAGTGCAGCAGATCTGAGCTTACACTTTCTTCCCAGATATTTCTACAGACATATACAACTTTTATATTGTTTTGCAATAAAGATACTGTGTCAAATAGCCAATTGAGAAGTCTATAAAGCAGCACAAGGCTCCCAAAACTAGCATGTTTCCCTAGCATTGCCACTGCCATTGGAAGCAATGGTAGCTCTCAACTGTGGACAGAGACACAAAGATGCTCATGCAGCCTTTGTGTGTGCTATTTGCCTTCAAACCATAGTCTGAGAACCCCTCTGCTAGAAGTGTTAGAGGATCTTTTGGGAACAAATTATCCACGACCTATTGGTGACTCTGACTTATATCAATAACACATCCACAGTGCTATTGCTACACAAGTGTTTTTAAATCTGGCAAATGCTTGGAAGAGAAACAGGTTCAACAAGTGTCATTATGCGTGTGATTTTACAGGAGCTATGATGATGACAGGCTTTACAGAGGCTGCTCTGCAAGTCCCTAATACTACCAAAACCCTTTCCCCCAAAGAGGTATTAAGAGATTAGGGCCACTAGATTCACATTTACAGTTTAGTCACTGAATCCTCAGTGAGGAGATGGAACGTTTTCTATAATTGCTATGGAGTGCCTCTGACATTTTCCTTCTTCTCTCTTCTTGACACGATGACACAAATTGTCTTCAGCTGCTTCAACCTTTCCTCCTTCCTCACCACTCCATCTACCTACCATTAATATCCTACCATTCATGGCAAGAGATCATCCACAAGTTGCTTCTTTCCCATGCTCTAACCAATAAATTATTGCATAAGACTTTTCCCTCCTGAAGACTGCACTCTAGCACAGAGTTGTGCATTTCACTGACTAAGCAGTAGTGCAGTTGGACTTATTTCCACACAGGTTATCACTGATGTAATACATGAGTAAGATAGCTGCAACATGTCCTAAGCTTAAAACAGACAAAAGAAGCATTAAAACACCAAACAGAGAAGCTTATGAAAACACTGCCAATTTTATTACCTGACTCTCTCAAAAAAATATTTATAGCAGCTCCTCTAGTCCCAAAACATTTAAATTATTTATTAAAAAGAGAAGTTCCAGACTAAGAGACTAGAGCAGAAAAAGCTTCTCCTTTGAAAAAGGAATAAATCCACTAAGTCATCCACGCCCATCCACCCAGATGGAGAAAATAGCTTCATGATCTCATTACACTTTTATCAAGTCAGTCTCAAATTTCTTCAGGCTCATTAATGTTTTAAAAATTAAAAGTTCTCCAAAAATTCAGTATCCCAAGTAAATTTTAATAACAGACATGCTGAAATTCAAGACTGAATAACATCAAGAGAAGAAATATTACAAGGAAAAAAAAAAGTTAGAAACTTGTAATCAAGGCCTTGCATACAGAAATACAGACCTCTCCCCTATAGCAACGGGCAGTGCTTTTGAAAGAAGTCTTTTTTGCATACTTACTGATTCCACTCTATGTAATTATTTTTAGGTATTTATTATTATAAAGAACACAAATTCTACTTCTCACATTGAATCTCCAGTTCTGCTTACAGTTCGCTCAGAATTCACTGACCTCACAGGTCCTCATGGGACCATGAAAAGTTTTTCCAGCTGAGTGCCGTGGACAAGGAAACAAGCAAAACCAAACCAGGAGCATCACCCACCGCTTACTGCTGGCCTGTCCTAGGACGCCTCAGAAACAACAAAATACTACACTTTTTCCCATTTAAACTTCATTTTCGGCTGTTTCCGTCTGGAAGCATCCCACAGAGGTCCTACGCTTTGTAGAGCCTTAATTAAAAAGGCAAACTAGCTCCCACACGGGCTGCACAGCGACGGGGCGACAGGCCGGTGGGTCAGGCGCTCTTTTTTGAAACCCAACC